GTTTTTTGGAAACATCGGCTGCCTGTGACTGTCAGAGAGGTGTCTTATGTCTCTAAAGCCCTATGAGGCTAAAGCAGTGCTATTATTCCCAGCACGCACTGCTCCGGGTCCAATAACACCTCCCCTGCTGGCCCCTGTGCACCTGGGTACTTCTGCACGGGTGGGTCCTCCTCTTCTTACCAGCACGAGGCACAGGAGGGGCACTACACACTGTTGGGGGCCGTCAGAGCTGAGCCCTGCCCTCTGGGCACCTTCCAGCCAGTAAGTACTAATCTCTTTATGCTTCCTCCTGTGTTCATCCTTTCTTTACGCTATTGGTCTTCTTGAGACTTTGTGTCTTCTCAGGACAGGGCGCAGTCCACCTGTCTGCCTTGCTTGCAAGGACACTTCTGTAATCAGACTGGCGCAGTCCAGCCGACGCAGTGTCCCCCAGGACACTACTGCCCTCCTGGGGCTGTCCTGCCCTCCTCCTGTCCAGTGGTGAGATATCCCTTCCTTACCGTCGCCATTTGTTTTCCCTACCAGTAACTCCGCACTGCACATGCAGGAGTCTGTTTTAAGTGGCAGAAATAAAACGCTGTCAGGTTATGAATGCAACTCACAACCATTGCGAAAAAATTTTAAAATACCCTCTCAAATGCGGATGATTCAGAGTTTATCTATGTGAGCAGCAAAGGTTCAGCTTCAATAAATGTCTTATCAGTATCATATTTTCAGCTCCTTAAAGATTAGGGGCTGTTTTGTCTCAGATACAGTAAGTGTGCAGATGTTAGTTAACTGCAAGTCAAGTGACCTGTACTCATCTTTCGAACATTGTTTTTTGTGTTAGTCTGAGTCTAGTTTGAATCACATTTTGTGCCTCGGCTACTGTAACACTGGGCTATCTGTGACAGGGGTCCTATTCTGCCCAGGGTGGGGCTGAGGATGTCGGACACTGCAGCCCATGTGACCCAGGGATGTTCTGCGGCTCCTCTGGGCTGTCTGCTCCACAGGGGGTTTGTGCCCCTGGCTTCTACTGTGCTGGCGGGGCCACCACAGCCACCCCGGTAACACTAATAACACAAACCATGCCCTCTACACACTCTTGTGTTACATCACGCCCCCGGAGAACTCACCGCCCTTAATCAACTCCTTCACATTCCAGTGCAGTTTCCAATGAACTAATCAGACACACCTTCTTCCACCTGCCTTCTGGATCTCGACTTACATCTCTGAGGATGTACTGGTTTTTGGCCTGACCTCCTGACCCATGTTTTTGGATAAACTCCTGCCGGTACTTTTGGATTCTGCTTAGGGTCCTTCTTCCACACCGTCACACTTGTGCTGTGAAAATCAATAATGTCTGCAAATCCATGAGGTCTTCGACGTCCTACAGTGCAGGATAATGTTGTCTCTGGGACACAAAGGAGAAAGTCAAGCCTAGCAAAGACTCGACCAGCAATCTTTCCATGGGTGCTTGTAGTCACAGGTTCTGGAGAGGGCTCCCATGTCGGCAAATGTCAGTGGCATCAGAAAGGCACATAGTCTCCAGGCTTTCCCAGCTCTGTCGTAGCCCACTGTATAATTTTTGTACTGAATCTCTTGGCCCTGCAGCCTCTTATTTGATTTGTGTGAACAAGTCCAAGCTCTTTCCTACTCGAATGCAGCATGTTGTGCACCAGGAGGAGCACATGTGTGATTTCTCTGCTTTGCTCTAATATAGGAATGCTCCTTTGTGCAGGTGGCCGTGTCCTCTGGAGACGTGTGTCCTGCTGGGTATTACTGCCCCTTGGGCTCCAGGCACCCCCGGGCACACCCCTGTCCTCCTGGCACATGGAGCAACGCGGTGGGAGCGCACAATGAGAGCTCCTGCTGGCCGTGCCCTGCGGGGTTCTTCTGCAATGGCACAGGCCTCAGGCAGGCCACAGGGCTGTGTGCCCCAGGTACGACCTGCCTGCTCCTGCACAACCGTCCCATCCGGGACACCATCCTATAGCATGTTCCCAGCTGACACCACCATGGAAATGGTGCACATCCTCCTGTTGTGTTTCTCTTTGGTGCTACAGGGTTTTATTGCCTGCGGGGTGCAACGTCGCCAATGCCCCTGGACGGTGTCACGGGTGACAAGTGCCCCCCAGGGTACCACTGTCCCCAAGGCACAGCTGTGCCGCAGCCCTGCCAGGATGGGACTTTCTCCAACACTACAGGTGCGCTCTCGTTATGACTGTAAGAAACGCTGCAGACAGGCAGATCTCGTTCGGCTCAGCCGGCTTGCTGGCGGTGTCAGTAGCTAACTGATGTTGAGAGCCATCAGCTTTGACAACTTGGCTGAGTAACTTATTCTAGTCTCCCAGAGCCATTTGTGTGAAGAAATGCTTCCTGTTCTCAGCTTTAAATGCACTTCCTCATAGCTTCCTCTTGTGTGCTCTGGATCGAGATTTAGTGGTCATTCTGAAGAAATCCGCTGGGGTTGGCTTCGTCAATGCCTTTGTAGATTTGAATACCTTCATAATAGTCTCTGCTCAAGACTCACGAGGTTTGGTTCTTTGTTGATCACAATTGAACAATTATTGTAGACCTTTCAAGTGTGCTGGCTGTGCAATAGAAACATAACATCTCTCCACGATTGTTATCATAGCTTTTGTGACGGCTAACCTGGACCTTTTACATCCCTAGTGGCATAGATATGACAAGTAGTGACAAAATATTCCCACAGGAGTTGTGCGGGACAGTAATTGTGCACACTGGCTGGTGGTTTTGATTTTGCAGGCTCTGCAGAGTGCCTGGAATGCCCTCCAGGGTTTTACTGCCTGCTAGATCAGGGGGTTCAGATGTGCCCGGAGGGGCATTACTGCCCTGGGGGCACGGGAATGGATGTGCTACCCTGCCCGCCTGGCACATACAGCGCAGCGCCCGGGCACAGTCAGCTGGAGCAATGCCTACTCTGCCCTGCTGGTAAAAACCTAGCATGCTGTATGTCTGACTTCTGTGTAGGCTCCTGGGATTCCCCAGTGCAGTGTTAGAGCCAGTGCAGTTGTGAAAAATATAAATACGTGATGACTAGCCTAGAGTCATGTTGTCATTGTGACGAATTGTAATTTCTAGGACTATTTTAGCCTCGCTTAGATCATGATTTTCCATTCCATGTTAATGACTATTTAAAGCAGACAATGAATCCAGCTGAAAAAGTTTCCCTCCTGTTGTGCTAGTTTATCTTTTCATGCCCCTGCTAAATTCTTGGCAATACTAAATTTCTGCAATTCAATAGAATAATTTGAACTTTTGAACTCCCCCTTTATAACAAAATCACTTTTTTTTTACTAAATCACTTTTTTTAAGTAAGAGCAAGTCACAGTTTATACTGTAAATATCAAAACATCTTTTGTCACACTGAACCAAGAGCAAGCAGTCACATGCCCTGCCAGCGCCACCTCCTGTTGAGTTATTGCCGTTTAATTGCCAGTACTTTGCTTCCCTTCATTGCTTCGCCTTCTGTGTCACAACGGTCTGAGCTTCTTAGCCAGGCCTTCATTGTCAATAGGAATGTATTTTTGAGTGGCTTATCTGGCTTAATAAAGGATTATTATGATACTTGCACGCTTTTGAAGGCACAGTGAATGTCCCTTCTCTTAGTTACCTCCTGACGTCAAACTAACCTGTTGTGTTCTCCTCTCTTTTCAAAGGGATGTACTGTGAGGAGTGGGGCCTGGCACATCCCACAGGCCCGTGTCAGGCTGGATACTTCTGTTTAGCGGGTAGCTGGTCTGTCTTTTCTACATGCCTATTCCCGGTGAATGAGTGGCTAGCCATAAGATCCTATTCCTTAATAAAGAACCTTGTTTGCTGATATGCTGAACAGGTTTTCAGACCACATGCTAAACTGCAGGAACGGCCACCCCTGCTGCTTGATGCAGGTTTTTATATTACTTGCACGTGCTGCTTATGGTGCTGATAAAGAACTGGTTTGTACGGTATAGCTCATTGAATAAGAGAGTGTGTGGTTACTGTCTGACTGTTGCTCATTAACATCCGTGTCGGCGTAGTGAAGCTGAGAGTTTTTGCTTGCTCTGAACAGGAATCAACTTCAGGAACCCCGATGGGAACATCAGCACGGGCGTGGGGGGGCCCTGTCCTCAAGGGCACTTCTGCCCTGCTGGCACCAGCCTGCCCCTGCCCTGTCCGCTGGGGTCCTTCTCTGACAGGTCAGGCTGACGGGGGGGCCCAGCCGCAGTGAGGAGGCGCTCCGGCGGTGTGCACTCTCCCATGACCCACCTGCGCACGAGCAGATGTTTTTTGGAACTGGAACGCCTCCTTTCTGCGATCAGATCGGTGTTTTGCACGCACGGAAATGAGCTCTGCATGTCCAGAAATGAGAATACAAGCCTACTGGTGCTTTCGTCTGGGAGGAGTGATAATGTGGCCCCCTCCCCCCTCTCTCTCTGTCTCCCTCTGTTCCTGGGACAGCCTCCACGTGTCTGCGCAGTCGGGCTGCAGTCCCTGCCCCCCAGGGCAGTTCTGTGACGTGGAGGGGCTGGTCCAGCCTTCAGGACTGTGTAGAGAGGGCTTCTACTGCCCCAGAGGGGCTATCTCACCCACCGGTAACAATTCTTTTGGATACATTTTTCTGGGTTGCAATCCATTGGCTCCCTGTCTTTGGCTGTCTCTCGCACAGGGAGAAATAAAGACAGGTGGGGTAGATCCACAACAGGCTGGTGGACAGATACTGTAGGTACGGAGGGTGTGCAGTGGGGATGACGACCGAATCTCCCTCTTCCGTCTCTGCAGGATCTGGAGGAGGAGGCCGGCCTTGCCCTGCTGCCCACTACTGCCCCGCAGGCAGTGCCCAGCCCCTGCCCTGCTCGGCGGGCACCTACGCCAACCTGACCGGCCGGGCCCGGTGTTCCCGCTGCAGGGCGGGGTACTTCTGCCCAGAGAGGACCAGCACGTACAGCTCCTTCCCCTGCCCCCCCGGCTTCTACTGCCCCGATGGTAACACACTCGCCTGCTCCAAGTGCTCCAGATAGTGCTCAAGGAAACGAACCTAGTACACCATTCCAGGACATTCGATCCAGTGATTAATAATAAGAATTCACTTCCGAACATGTATTTCCTTGTATGGTTATTTTTATACCACATAAATGTTCTATCTTTCTACATGACGTTGGAGTTAAATGTACAGAAGGCAAATTCAGAGTTTTTTTTAACGAGCTGTCTTTCCAATTCAATTACCATAGACTGAGCACAGATCCTAATAACCATACAAAGCAACAGTTTGAGAAAAAACAGGTGTATTGTTGTTTATGGAGTAAACTCTTTGCCTGCTGTTTTGGTCAAATTCACACTGTAACCTCTCCCTGTAAGCGCGGGAGAAGAACGATTTCAGCCTGAGAGATAATACTTACAATGCTGTTCTGAATCTAGGCACCAGGTATGCCACTGAGTTTCCCTGCCCCAGGGGCTACTACAACCCAGAGCCCATGACCCAGAGCGTGGACAGCTGCCTGCCCTGCCCTCCTGGCCATTACTGTGAGAAGGAGAGGCTCACTGCTGTGTCAGGAAAATGCAAAGCTGGTTAGTGGAAGATTTGTATTTACTCCCATGCAATTTACATATGGCCTATTCAATGATGTTTGAATATGTTAATTGAGATGCTCAACCCTTCTAAGGACAGAGTTGCCAGTTCTTCCTGTTATTCAAACGAGATGGAAAAAGCTTATTTTAGCCTGTCTGGAGTGCTGTATCCCATGGGCACGAAGACAGCTGTTGCAGACGGCTCACATCCCCTTCCTCCACGGTGACTCACCATCTTCTGTGTGTAAGAGATGGCATTTGTCTGCAGGGTGTAGGAACATCTGCTTTGATACCAACAAACTGACCTCTGTGTATTCTTGCCTCAGGCTAATTCAAATCATGGTGAGCATGTGCAGGAAGCCTCTGTGCTATTATTGTGCTCTGTGCCTTTACACTGCAGCAGTGCTGGGAAATTTAATGATTTCCTTCACCGTTCAAAAGGCCAGTTTTACTACACATAGATTTGATCCCCTTTTCCAGTAAAGGGAAATAATATTTTTCATCCTCTAGTGTTGCAAAGTGCTGACCATTTGTGTGACGATTAACTGGGTGAATTAGCCAGTACTCAGTGCGCGCTGGACACACAAGTGTCCAGAGTCAGAATCATCAAACACTGCTATAAACTCCTGCGCTCCCCCTCTCTCACGTCAGGTTGGTTCTGTGTGTCTGCTGCTTGGAACTCCCAGCCCTTCGACTTGGACAACTACACTAATGCCAACTGCCTGTGCCCAGCCACCTCCACGGGAGGAAAGTGCCAGGAAGGGTACTACTGTCCCGAGGGGAGCTCTGAACCCCTGCTCTGCCCTCCTGGCTCCTTCTGCAACACGTCAGGTGCAGTGCTCCGTTTCCTGACCTCATACTGTAGCTCCCCAGCTGTCCTCTCTGTTGTTCTTTTTAAGGTGGATCTGTCACCCAATGCAGAAGAGGCAGCCCTTCTTAGCATTTCTATAAGACCACCTTATTGCAAGCAAGAGCTATTTCCTTTGTGATAAAATTAGTCACACTCTCTTTTTCTTCAAGTTTCTTTCTTTAGTGCTGTTAAATGTACTGTATTTCTCCATTGTTTCTACATTGTTTTTGCTTTCAAGTGCCTTTGCTTTTTCAAGGTCCTTGAGATTTTGTGTCATGAGAGGCATTGTATAAAATAAAGAGTGTTATTCCACAAGATTGCTAGCCAAGCAACCATCTTAGAATAAAGTAGTAGGATAAAGTATCTCTCACTTCTGCTTCACCTGCTTTCAAAGGGAACTTTCTTATTCCTTCCTCTGTGCAGTTTCCACCCAAAGTTCTTGGACTCCATCCCATTTCTGTTCTTAAATTTGTTGTAAATAATGAAGTCATCCAAGCAAGGTGTCCTCTTTTAAAGTGATGCAGCCAATGGAAACCAAGTGCCAGCACACCTTCAACTGTAAACACATTTAATCTTTGAACTGAGGAGAAACCTACAGCATGCTGTTCAGGATCCACAGCGGTATTTTAACAGCAGTGTCTCAGTTTCAGGAGGTTTTTGGATGCATTGTTATTTCCATCTGTGTAACATATGTGTAACGTGATGTTGAATAAGGTGTGAGTAATGTATGAGTAACATGTGAGTAACACGTGAGTAACATTTGAGTAACATATGAGTAACACATGAGTAACACGGCTAATGTGTGAGTAATGTGTGGGTATCACATGAGTAAACGCATGAGTAACATTTGTGTTATGTGTGAGTAACGTGTGTGTGTGTGTGATGACTGTGGCTTGGTGAAAGAGACCGTGGGCCAGTACCAGTGCAGCTGTGCTGTATGTGCTCCCTGCAGGGCTGTCTGAGCCCACGGGGCTGTGCTTTCCTGGCTACTACTGCACTGGAGGAGCCACTCATCCCAAACCGACAGATGGACTCACAGGCAACATCTGCCCACCTGGAACGTACTGTGGTAATTTCCTTCTCCTTGACGTGTACCACTCACCACTGACACCACTCTCGTCTACCTGTAAACCAAAGAGCTGAAGTGCTTCTGCCACTTTGTGGAGAGCACATCCCATGACCGTGTCCACTCTGAAGTATATTTAACATAGTTATGTAAATCCGGTATAGTCTGTCTGTCATTCGTTCCTTGAGCAGACCATCACGCTGTCTGTGTAGGAGATCTGGAGAAACTAGGCAGAGATGGTAACCCATCAACAGGCCACTTTCTGTTCTGCTGAAATATGGACTAACCACAAAGGCTGCAGTGTTGTTCTCTGTGGCTCCTGTTCAGGCGTCGGCGCGGGGGAGCCTGCGCTGTGCCCTCCAGGAACTTTCTCCAGCGTGGCCGGCCTGCCCGGGGAGAGGAACTGCCAGCTGTGCCAAGAGGGCTTCTACTGCGAGGAGGCAGGCCTGGAGGCTCCTAGTGGCCCTTGCACTGAGGGTGAGTCTGATCAGGCTCGCACAACGATCTTCCCTTTGAGCTGTTCCTGGAGTGGACACCTGCAGTGGCCAGTGTGTCTGGGCATCCCATTAAACAATTACGTTTTAATGTGCAGCAGCCCTTCATACGGGGGTTCTCAATCCTGGTCCCAGACGTCCGCACACCTGCTCAGTTTGGTTCCACCCACCTCTCAGTTACACAACTGAAGTATTAATTGACTTACTGTAACAATAGAACTGTTGGACTGCTTTCTGCTCTTAAATTGGGTTGACGTTACCTTTGAACTACTGCATTTGAGAAGCTAAAATCCCAATGCAAATATTCCCATCAAGCCACACGAGTAGCTCAATTCAGGCTGTGATTAGATAAACTGGGCTGGAATAACATCTACAGTATGTCCAGGATTGGGATTCCCTGCCTTATTACTTGGGGCGGAGTGGTGGCTCTGTGGCTAAGGATCTGCTCCTGGGGCTGGAAAGTTGCCAGTTCAAATCCTGTGGCTGGCAGAGGAATCCTACTCTGTTGGGCCCCTGAGCAAGGCCCTTAACCCCTGGGGCACTGTATAAAGGGCTGACTCTATGCTCTGAGCCCAAGCTTCTCTCTCCCTGCCTGTGTGTCTCATGGAGAGCAAGCTGGGGTATGTGTGGAAAGGTCCATCACTGTCTAACCCCAGACACTGATATTAGTGTTTGGGGATACTTTTATCTTACTGCACATACAGGAAATGCTATCAATTACCATTCACAAACACAAGGATGCCACTGTCTTTCTTTGACACTTTCACTCCAGTTCAGTCCAACATAGCCCAATCACCAACCTTGACCATCACCCTAACCCCTGGTCAAAACCCTCACATGAACACTTGACCCTCTAAAATGTGATGGAGTCTGCTAGCAGAATCTGTATGTTACTCTGTACCCATTTAGCGGTGGGAGCTGTGAATTCCTGCTGAAGTCACATGCTTAACTCTTTACCTTCACGCTTGCTTTAGCACAGATACTTCTCCCTCCCTGTACTGAACTCCCACCTGTACTAAACTACTGATGGGGACGGGATGTTTATACTAAACTCCTGATAAGGAAGGAATGTTTTAAGTGCTTTCTGAGTCCTGGAGTTTCTTGAGAAAGCTACCTCAAAGACAGGAGGGGGAGGGTGTAGAGCCATATCCCCTCTGAGCAATACAACAATAAGCCTGAAATGTGTTGCTCCTTGTATGCATACAATAAAGCTTGGCTTGACGAATGGACACTTCAGGCTCGAATCTCTCGGTTTCCACAAATGCTAGCAATATTCCTGAATTTACCAAATGTACCTCTAGGTGATTTTGTATCATTTGTATCATTTCAAGCTTGTCTCTCTAACCCAAGTTATTCAAATCTTCTCAAAAACATTGACATGGTTTTTTCTCTGCTGTGTCCAAGTCCTGCAGTTTATACCAGCTCTGCTGAATTAACAGTTATTTCCCATACCTGCTTGTATGTCTCAGGGTACTGGTGTCCCCCTGGACAAACAGCGAGGACAGCTCTGCCCTGTCCCACAGGCCATTACTGTCCAGAGGGCAGTCCTGCTCCTGTTGTCTGCCCCTCTGGTCACTACCAGCCCCTGGAGAAGCAGGCCACATGTGAACCCTGTGAACCAGGTGAGTCATGTGACCAGGCCAGCAGGGAAATAAGACTTCTGTTGATCCAGACAGTAAACGCCCAAAGACCACAAATTTCACTGTTGTCGTTTATTGTTGCCATGAGAACTACTGTAAGCTCTTTTTGCAAACCTGGCCACTGTAAAATTGTACACAATGTTTTGCACTATTCCTGTATTTACTGAGGTCAGTACTCAAAGGAGCTTAACAAGTAGCTAATATTGAAAGTCATGTAACAGAACAACTAGCAGGATTGGGTTGTGTTATCAAGAGGGAACCTCTTGGTTCCATAATTGTCAAAATTAGTGCAGGCAGCATCTGGAAGTCAAAGTATGTTTCGACAGCTTACCAGCTCAACCTGCTTGCTGTAGGTTATTACTGTGATGGGAGAGATGCCCTCTTGAATGCCTCCAATCCCTCCCCCTGCCCAAAGGGACACTACTGTCCCCAGGGAACACGCTCCTCCACCCAGTACGCCTGTCCAGTGGGCACCTTCAACCCCAGAGAGCTCCTGGAGGATGTGCGCGGGTGTCTCAAGTGTAAGCCTGGAAAGTTCTGCTCATTTACAGGACTGTCAGCGCCCTCAGGTAGGCCTGAAGAACCTAGCATCGCTGTCTCCACCATCTTTAAAAAAAAACATTGACATGTGAAATGTTGGTGCTCTAAGGGATAACAAAACATAAGCTTGCCGGAAAACTGTTGATCCAAGAGGTCACAGTTCAGGTCAGGGAGCTAACCTAGGGAAGCACGGGGATTTATCTGGTGGATGCAGACTGCTTGATTCTAATTACAAGAAGACATTTGAAGACTCTTTGCTGCGAAATGATGTGACAGTGCCTGTGAAAGACATGACCGTCCACAAGCAGGGTGTGTGTCCTGCTTTGTGTTCTGTGCAGGAGACTGCCACGCGGGGTTCTGGTGCAAAGCAGGGGCCCAGACAGCCGTCCCCATCGATGGCCAGTCGGGCATGCCTTGTCCTCCTGGACATTACTGTCCCGCAGGTAATGCAGCCCTCCAGTTTCTGGACGGATTATTCAACTGTAGCTCTTTTTTCACTTTGCTGCTTCTCCTCTGCGTCTTGTAGGAGCACCGTCTCCTGTCCCCTGTCCGCTTGGCTCCTGGTCTAACAGCACTGGTCTTAAAAGCCGGGAGGAATGTCAGGGCTGCCCAGGAGGCTCCTACTGTGCCTCAGCTGGGCTCACTGCCCCCACTGCGCCATGCTCTGCAGGGTACGTATCACGCAGACCAAACAATTCATACAGATTAGAATCATTCCCAGACAATTTTTGCAATCTGACTTGAGTTACTTCTGGACTTTTTGAAAACTTGTAATGGGTCATGGCGGATAACTTGTCAGTCAGCATTTCCATAATCGGACTCACGCCAAAGCACTAATGCTTACATCATTATCCGAGCCTATTGCTCTGCACTGCTGATTGTATCAATGACAGATCGAGCAGGGTAAAACCTACACCCCTACAGTTGGAAAAACTGAACGTTGCTTCTGTCAGCCTGTGTGCCGATGTTGCTGCTGTCCCGGTTGCAGGTTTTACTGTGCTCAGGGAGCCACTCTGCCCTCCCCTACGGATGGCACCACTGGGGGACTCTGCCCAGAGAAGCACCACTGTCCCAAGGGCTCGGCTGAGCCCGTGCCGTGTCAGCAGGGGACCTACATGACAGCGACACAGGCGACTGAGTGCTGGCCGTGTCCTTCTGGCAGCTACTGCGTGACAGGCGGAGAACCGCTTATGTGTCCTCCAGGTAAGCAGGACGATATCCTCCCGATGTCATGTGCTTTTCTCCCAAGATTTATCCCATTCCAAGGAGGTTATAAAAGAGGTCCGGGTAGGTTGGACACTAATCTTGCACATTTTCACTCACCTACATATAAAAGTCTTGCACACTGATCTCCCCTTTGTGTTTTCCGGACAGGCTTTTCTCACATCTACTGTAGGCTATGAGTGTCATGCCACATACTCTCTGCACATTTTGTCCCTCTATAGCATTCGTTAGGATCTAACTAAAGTATCGAAATTGGAAATGACGTAAGAGACTGGCTACACCAAAATGTTTACAAATTTTTCCTGTTTCACTGCAAACACACATTCAGAAGGATGCTGCCCAGAGAAACAAAGTTAAACGCCTCCAATCCCCTGTCAATGTTGCAGAAACATTGACAGTGAAAATAATGCCTGTTCTCTTATTAACAGCTCATCGTTAAAAGATCCGGGTTCTTTGTTGAGCAATGGCTTGCATTCTCACACTTGTGATCTCGCAGGGTTTTACTGTCCAGAGAGAAGTGGGCATAACTGGCGGCCCTGCCCAGTGGGCACATACAGCCCAGATGCAGGCCTGGCGCAGGTGTCCCAATGCAGGGAGTGCGACGGGGGAAAATACTGCGCTTTGAGCAACGCCACCGTTGTCACTGGAGACTGCTGGGAAGGGTATTACTGTCTCCGCGGCAATGTCTCCCCTCAGCCACACGGCCTTGCCATGGGTACAGTACAACAATCGCCGAACCCCAGGAGGATGCCTTCTGTTGCTTTTCTTTACACATTTACGGGAAAGAAATTCAAGGGGGCCCAGATGAAAGCTGTATTTTACTATTTCTTTATAATTCATTTGAGTATTGAGAGGCCTTGAGCATTCAGATGTCTGTGCTGTTCCCTGCATTCGTTTTCAACTTGTTTCAGTTTCTCCCACTCCTTGTAAAACCAGCGATGTGTTCAAAGCTGTTCTTCAGTAATGCCAGCTCATATTCTCACACTGCAATGTGATACTTGATGAGCTTTCTAGTTATTAATATCAAAGTTACCCGACTTCATCATCGAGCTCAATGAAAAACAAGCATGGCAAAACTGAGATTTGTAGTGTACAAAGGGTAAAAATCTAGATTGCTCAAACATAATGCAGGTCTCCCAGTATATGCAGAGGTGCTGGGGTGTGGTGCTGAATGCTGTGTGAGAAGATGTGCTGGTGTTTGACCCTGGCCTCTAGGAGAAGGTGGACCGTGTCCAGCTGGTCACTACTGTCCCCGAGGTACAGCAGAGCCCCAGCCATGCCCCGCGGGCACCTTCAGTCAAATGACCAGACAAATCTCACAGGTAAGAAGGAGAGGCCACTGCAGCTGTTGCCTTGTTTACACTGGAGACTGTCTGTCCACTTATGTGGTGCTGCAGCTCTACAAACAGTATTGAAATACAGTCGATAGTCATGTGCACTACACTTTGTCTTGGTTTTATTCATAAGCATACTTTTTTTAATCATAAGCATACTTTTTTTAATCAGCTTTTACATAAAATCGGTTATTATTTTTGTGTATAAATGAATTTTACTGGAAAATATGGGACGTGAGAGTTGGAATATGGCACCACTGGATGTGCGCCTCATTGAGAATGACATTTTCTGTATCAGTGGTGTGCAGCAGACATGTACTTGTTGACTGTCTGGTCCTGGGTTAACTGTGGTGATGCTGTCCTGTCCAGGAGAACTGTATGCTGTGCCCTCCTGGTCATTACTGCGGTGCTCCTGGTCTCACCTCGCCAACGGGGGAATGCTGGGAAGGATTCTACTGTTACCAGGGGGCGGTGCTCCCCAACAATCCAATCAGAGACGAGAAGGGCGGGCCCTGTCCACCAGGTAACCGTCGCCTAGTGTTTCTGCAGCCCGAGTGGCGATTCAGTTATAAAGAATGCTGTAAAAAAGATGTTGTGTTATTGTTCTGTACTGAAGCACCGGCATATTTTCTGTTGTTAACTTGTTCATTGTGGCCTTCCTGGCTGTAGGGTATTTTTGCCCCAGAGGCAGTGCTGCTCCTCAGCCTTGTCCCGAGGGGACCAGCAGCACACTGGAAGGCCAGGCCAGCTGCAGCCCCTGTGCTGAAGGGTGAGATCCAGTCCCGTTTCCACAGGCTACAGTACCTGTTCTTTCTGTCCCTGCCGAACTGACCCACTCCACTGAGCGCCACCGTCAGACCAGAAGCCTAGTGATAACTGCTGAAATCCCAGTGTAAACAAAAACAGGGCCCGACAGTTTTCCATTCATACACAAAATGGCTTGACAGAGAACATGCGACAGGGGATATGAGGCTTTTAAAATATGAAAATATGTGCTGTATTACACCCCACCTGTGAAATAAGTCTGCCTGGACTCGTGGTATCAGCAAGTGCTGTTCTGTGATTTATCCTGCTTTTCTCTTTGTGCCTGACACTACCGACTGCGTCTCTGCACAGGTTCTTCTGCCCTGGCAACACGTCCTCCTACGCCGGTCATGAATGTGCTCCAGGGCACTACTGCCCGGCAGGAACCAGCTCCCAGAACCAGTACCCCTGTCCACCTGGCACACACAACCTGCTGACTCAGAGACGCAGTCTGCAGGACTGTCTGCCCTGCCCACCAGGTGAGTCCAGGGAACCAAGTTAACTCTTGTCGAGAGCATGAATCCCCGGTGACAGTCCCAGCTGAAAAATTCTGTAAAAACTGTGCCACTTTGCATCTTTAGAATTCATGTTTACAGACATATTTATTTGGCATTTGTTGCTGTACTGTATATTGAGACTCCAAATCTGCCACACGCGTTCCACAAATAGTGAAATTAGCAGAATTTTAATACTCTAGAAAGGACAAAACTGCACCTGTAGACTTCACTGGAGTTTTATCTTCTTTCCTGAAGCAAAGTATTTGTTTTTTTAATAACATACTTCAATACACCTTTGAGCCCTAGAGACTGGTTTCTAGAAGTACAGGAAATTCACTTCTTGCTCGTTTTATTCCTGTCATGTCTTCATGTCTTCACAGGTTTATTCTGTGCCTCCTCAGGCCTGAGAGAGGCCAGTGGCCCGTGTGCCGCAGGGCACTACTGCCAGGCTGGGGCAGTGACCCCCTTTCCTCAGGATGGCCTGACAGGTGATATCTGCCCCAGAGGTCACTACTGCCCCCAGGGGTCTGGGGTCCCACAGGCTTGTCCAGCTGGTCACTACAGCAACACCACCAGGAACGCAGCTCTCTCTCTCTGCCTGCTGTGCCCTGCAGGTCTGTGTTTCTGCCCTCTGCCGCGCTCACATATTAAACCACTAAATTTAAAAGGAAAGTGGGTCTAACAAGGAAAGAGGACTTGGATTTAAGAGGAGAGTGAGTTAAATTCAGGCTCATTTTGGCAATTTACACCAAATTGTTTCGGTTGCAGTAAAAAGTTACAGTAAATGTTTATGGCAGTTTTTGAATGAGGTGTCACGCCCCACACTCTCCCTCGCAAACGGCGTTGCATTCCCAAACCCACTGTTTCACAATCTCACTCCTAATTGAACCCATCACATTCTCACATGCACCAGATTCCGCAAATTCTCACTCCCAAACCAATTATCCAACCACAGCCCTTTCCTTTCAGTATTTAAACTTCCCTAACACACTTACCCTTGCTCACTATTGAGAAGTCTCTAGTAGAACTCTCTTGTGTGCATTTCCAGACCTTGCCTGATTGCCTAGTACCTAACTTTGCTCTTGCCTTTTGGATTTCCCTTGTTACTAGACTCTTTGCCTCCCTTTTGGACCAAGCCCCTGGGTTATGTATTTTGGTTTGTCCCTGTGCTACTCCACATCCTGTGAGATTCACGGTTATGCATAAGGATCCTCCTATTCTACCAATTGGTTCCCTGACATGGAGTTTCCAATTAAGTTCTTGAAATTCCTAAATCCTCGTGTTTACTGGTTGAGAGACTGTGTCAGTAGAGCCCAGTGACCAATCATTTGTCTCCTGCTTCGAGATGAGCCCTGTGTTTAGGCGTTGTGAGAATGTCGTCCTCATCCTTCACAGGTGGAAATTATCCTCCCTCTGCTTTCACAGCCAGCAGCTACAGAAAGAACAGGAGCAGTGGGTGGAGGCATTCCCACTGAAAGGCACACGGATCTGTCTTTCCATGTCTTCTGGGATTAGTCCCAAAGCACGTCCTGGATTCCTTGTTTGTGTTTGCATCTCTAGGATTCTCCTGTGAGGCCTCAGGACTGTCTGCCCCGTCTCAGCCCTGCAGGGAAGGTTATTACTGTCCCCCTGGACAGCTGTCCAGCAGCCCCGTCTCCTTCACATGCTCGGCTGGACACATGTGCCCCCAGGGCAGTGCCTCCCAGACTCCCTGTCCCCCAGGAACCTACCAGGACCATCCTGGGCAGGTGAGGACACAGAGGCAGCTTTGATCTTCCTGGCCCCGGGTGTCAGATCTCCCGCGAGTCTCGCGTCTTCAGGATTTCGATTACACACCAGTTCTGTTCACGATCTACAGTACAGAAGTCATTAACCTGACAGGGAGATGCTTGTAATGGAGGATGTTACTCAAGCTCTCTTCTCTTTCATCATTTGCTTTGCCAGGCAATGTGCAATCTCTGTCCTGCCGGCTTTTACTGCGCGGGCGCCCTGCACCCCGAGACTGGGGTCCTCAGTGGGGTGCTGTCTCCAGTTCCCTGCCCCAAAGGACACTACTGTCCAGCAGGTAGGACAACGTCACACTAGAAATACATTTCCACAATTTCTCATCACCTGCATGGTCATGGTCAAGATGAGGCAAGCCACTTTCTTTCGCTCCAGGATTCCTTACAACATTTTATTCTTTTTTCCCCCCTCATGTTGAACCCCAGAAACAGATCCTTGATATTCATGGGATCACGGGTTCTGTGCTTTTTCCTGAAAGGTGTGGCAGCTGGTGTGGAGTTCCCCTGCCCAGCCGGCACTTTCAGTGGCCAGACCGGCCTCGCCCGTGCCAGCGAGTGCGTGCCCTGCCCACGGGGGAAATACTGCAGTTCAGCTGGTCTGGCTGCACCTACGGGAGACTGTATGCCTGGGTAAGAGAACTGGTTTTCCCTTTCAGCAGCAGTACAATTCACACTGGCGTGGCCCAGTGCATTATGGTTCTGTACGCTCTGGACACTTCAATTGCCGTGCTGTCAAAGTATCAAACATGTTCATGACTTGAAACTGCAGTTTTTTTTATCGGTATACCTATGCAGCTATACTGTGTTTGTTTAAGAAATGCTCTCCCTCTGATGCAATCTACCTTGAGTACTTCCAGCTGGAGTCTGTGACATGCTGTGTCTGTTTGCTCAGGTTCCTCTGCTCTCAGGGCTCGCTCTCCGCACAGCCCACTGGGGGTGCCGGCGGGGGAAAGTGCCCTCCGGGGTCCTACTGCCTGCTGGGCACAGCTCACACGGTGCCCTGTCCTGCAGGAACGTTCAGTGAGTCAGAAGGTACGAGAACTCGCTAGTGGGGCAGTTTTAAAATGTAAGAGAGTGCAAAAGTAAGGAGTGAGCGGAAAATCTAGTCAGCCCTCTTGTGGAAAATGGGAGAGGCTTCCTGCTGGTCGAGTCTTGTGATCTGGGACACCAAGGGCATTAGGAAATAAAGATAAGGCAAAACGATTCTGTGCTGTTATGCAACTTACTCCTTAATTATTGCTTTCTAAGGCTTGTAGATCTCTTCCTGCTATAACAATCTCAGCTTGTTCTGCCCCAGACAGCAGAGGTGAGCTTCTGATCCTTGTCTTTTGCCTCTGGCCTGCAGGTGGCGCTTCTGCAGCATCCTGCCTCCCTTGCCCTCCAGGGCAGTACTGTCAGAGCCCCGGCCTGGATGCTCCGTCCGGACCCTGCAGGGCCGGGCACTACTGCACGCTGGGGGCCATGTCCCCCACCCCTCAGCACAACGCCACAGGTGCCCCACCGTGCTGTGGGGCGGTTTGGGGGTTACCCAGCCTGGCTTGACAGTGTGATCTCTGCATAAGTGTCAGGATTGGGATTTTATAGGCTTGGCATGTGGATTAATATTTTTTTTTGGGGGGGGGGGTTTGGTATTTGTCAGTGCTTTGTTGATTTAACAGCATTTTGTGCTGTTTTGGAAAGGCTTTCTTATGCGTGACAGTCTGCCTTTAGAAGACAGTGTCTTCTGCTGGGTATTTGTTTAAATATTACACATCAACAGTGCTTTGCTCTCCTTCCCAGGGCACGCTGCAACATCTCTGCTCAGCTCCTATCAGACCACTGGTGGGGTTTGCCCTGCGGGGCACTTCTGCCCCTCTGGGAGCTCTCTGCCAACTCCCTGTCCCCCAGGTACGCCACACTGCCACTGCCTATTAACTGTGCCATCCACAGAGCTCAGCTGGAAGCGCTTGTGATTTCAAAGCGACACTGTAACATCATAATTTAAGCCAGTTTACAGTATAAGTAGACTATGGTAAGAGACTATGGTAAAACTTGCACCCAAATCCATTATATTTCTAAAGAGACCATGTCAAGATACATACTGTCCATTTTGCACTGTGTGTAGGTTTTAGTGATTTATCTGCAATTGTGGATTGTGAATATTACTGTTTATAGAAGGATCTTTTTTAGTTTAGTTTCCTACTTTTTTAAATGTAAAATGCCTATTATTATTATTATTTTATTATTATTATTATTATAGGCACCTTTTTGGAGAAGAATGGTGCCAAGTCAGAGGTAGAATGCCAGCCCTGCTATGCTGGCTACCACTGCCCTGATTGGGGTCAGAGGTCACCCAGTAGCCTCTGTCCTGCAGGCTGGTTCTGCCCAGAGGGGTCGGTGTCTGGACAGCAGGCAGGTGAGCGGTGCTACACTGTCTCAACTCAAGTGTTAAGTGACCCTGAGTTCCGTAGGCTGACTAGCCAAAACAAATAACTGCAAATAATTGTCCATTAACTTCTCTATTAATTTAGTAACCTTAGTCTGTTGGGGCTCCTCTCATGTTGCAAGAGCTGAAAAAATTCTTTGTGGCAGGTCATCAGTGCCCACCTGGTCATATGTGCCAACCTGGAAGTGCTGAGCCCGTGGCCTGTCCATCAGGCACCTACCAGCCCCTACCAGGCCACTCTGCCTGTGAACCCTGTCCCTCAGGTAACACCTCTACAAACTATCTGGCTCTTGTGGTCATCATGCCTCATCTGCTCAACGTCTCCTTCGAGAAAGTGTTCTATCTTAGTGTTCGGGCGCCCCGGCTAGCTCTGTTGGTAGAGCATGAGACTCAATCTCAGGGTAGTGGGTTCGTGTCCCATGTTGGGCGCCAGGTCCTCCATGTTGGAGGTTGTGTCACGATCTCAAACCCCTCCTCTTAAGGGCGCTCCAGCCCTTCCTTGTTTGCCTCATCCCCTGTACCTGCTCCCTGTTCCAGCCACCTTTTCAGTTCCCCCTTAAAAGCCAGACGCTGACGCTATTCCAGGCTCTGCATTGGTTCCTGCATCATGCGATCCCGGGACCTGGATGCACCTGGCTCCGTTATGGTTTAAGTTTCTGTTTCTTGTTCCTGTTTCCCCTGCCGGTCCCGACCCGGTTCTGTTTCTTTTAATCGTCTGTCTCGGATGGATCTCCTGGCCTTGGACTTTTGCTCTGTTTTGGATTTCCGGTTTGACTCATCCCTGGATCGTTTGCCTCGGCCACACCTCCCCCGACCACCGGCACTCCATGGACACGCCCCCCCTGTTTTCATCCCCGTCTCCTGCATGCCTTTTTTCCTTGTGTTTTCTCACTCCACCCTGGATTGTGTCGTCTGCATAGGGTCCGGAAAGAACTCTTCCCGTCAGGTTGGGCACAAGGCTAACAACCCTGTCCCGTAAAAACCAAATGTTACGGGAACAGCAAGAGGACGTTGCTGGCCCTAAGTGCCAGAAGGCATAACGGGCAAACGCCCATCCATCCTAGTGTTCGAGATTGCTACAGGGTCACCAAAAACCCTCCTGAAAGATTTATGCAACTAATTTAACTTGCATTGTGTATCTTTTAGTCGCAATGTTTGTGAGGTGTTGTATTCAGACAACTATTTTATAACTATGGCTGAGGGTCCTTCCTAACGGGAACCATCTCTGCATGTGCAAATGAAATATTTGTTACAGTTCTAGTAAATACGTGACATATTCTTCTGAATTTTCCATCACCAGGTTTTTATTGCCCAGAGAGTTCCTCCTCTCCTGCCCCATGCCCTCTGGGGAGGCTGGGCGAGACAGGGGGTCTGCGATCGGCACAGGACTGTTCCCCGTGTCCCCCTGGCTTCTACTGCAGCACCAGCGCACTGACTCGGCCCACCGGGCCCTGTGTTTCAGGTACTGTGACCCAAAGCTTAGACTTGTTTCAGAATATGAACTGTGCCCGTAACAGTCTGTTCTTTTCAGTCTATGATGAATTAGGGAAATTAACATTTGGCTACCAATCAGAGATGTAACATTCTGATAGGATTCCTTTTCTTTGAAATTCCCCCATATCTAAATCCAGTGTAATAATCATGAAGTGATGATGAAATATGTAAAAATGTTCACCAGGACACTCTTTCAATGGGCAATGAATGCAGAACACCTTGATCTATTTGCACATTACTATATATTTCACATTATAGATCCTCAGATCGATTATCCACCAGATGGGCTTAGTGGCCTCCTTTCATTGGAAACCTTGTTTATTCTAATGCTTTTTTTAACAATGAGGCATTTTTCATGACAAGATCAAGAATGAATAGTCCTGGATCTCGAATTCTGTTACAACGGGGAGAGAGGCTGTGCTAATGACTTCTCTGCGTGTCTGTGCCTTGGGTCTTCTGCCAGGTCACTACTGCTCTCTGGGAGCAGAGGAGCCTGCCCCTGTGCTGAAGGAGTTTGGAGACATTTGCCCCCAGGGGCATTACTGTCCAGAGAGTAGCAGCTATCCTCTGCCCTGCCCAGCGGGTACTTACCAGCCTGACACTGGCGCCAGGGCACACAGGCACTGTCTGCCCTGCCCCCCCGGGAGATACTGTGACTCACAGGGCTCCAGTCAGATCTCTGGTACTGTGCTGCACAATTTCTCCAGACCACCTGGCTGTTCAGTGTCTGACTGAAATGAGCTGAAATTATATAACTGTACTAGAGATATATATTGCTGGACAGAGGCTTGCTGACCTGAGTTAAATGTTTTTATATCATTTATTGATTATATCAAATGTTTTTATACAATTATTAATTTATATCAGTAATAATAAATTAATATATTTTGCTCTCTTTTTCCTAATGAAGCACAGATGTGTAAAAATTATCCAAACAAATACTTGCTATTTACTTGTTTACTTACTGACTCATAAGGGTAGTTAAATATGGACTGCATTATGGTTACAGATTGGAGTATTCCGACTGTTTTACTGTTTAATACTAATAGATATTGTATGAAGTATAAATTACCTTCCAGTTCACTGTAATCTTTCTGCCTGCTGTGTTTTCTGAAGGTGTCTGCTCCCCTGGTCATTACTGTACAGGGGGCACTGCCACTCCTGCCCCACAAAGGGGTCCCACTGAGCTCATGTGTTCCATGGATGTCATGTTCAAAGCTACCTTTGCTGAGCTGGTCTTCTGCAGCACTGTCTGCAAGTGCACCATTTCCTCTAAGCTGCCAGGTGAGAGTGTGTTTGCCGCTGGATCCCTGACGCGGTATTCCTGAGGAACTCCAGTTCGGCTGAGAGTGGAAGCGAAGTGAACGTTCCTGTTTTTAAACAGACGGTCCCTGCGCAGACAAGATCAGGGATGGGGGTTCACCTGACTGGTTGAAAAACAGTTTCCAGGTCAATACCTCAGGCCAGACCATGCCTAACACTTTGAGAACACCGCAGAACACAACTAAGCACTGCACTAATTTCACGGGAGACATCTGTCCCAAAGGTAAATATTTGGATTTTAATGCGGAACTTTAACTGATCTGTGAATTTCCTGTCCACTGTGACATTGTTACACTTTTGTACAAATCTTTACTGTTTCACTTTTTTCTGTTTATTGCAGTCCAACTTCATGCAACCCATTCCAGTATATTTTAGTGTATAGCCAGTTCTTTAACTTGTGGAGAGAAACACTTTCGTCTTACTCTTCACCTGAAATTCACGATTCACGATGGCCGTGTCAATGGACTTGCAGGTTTCTACTGTCCAGAGGGCTCCCCCACCCCCGTGCCCTGCGACCTGGGCTGGTTCTGTGATCGGAGCGGCCTCTCTGCTCCAGCTGGGCCTTGCTCAGCGGGATTCTACTGCCCCAGAGGAGCGTCAGTGCCCCATCCCACTTCCTGCCCCCCAGGACATTACTGCCCCCAGGGCGCCCCAAACCCCTTGCCCTGCCAGCCCGGGACACTGAGACGTGAGTCACGCTGACCGAACCGGGTAGTCGTTCATTTCTCAGCACCAGCAGTTCACAGGGCACTTTGTTTGTCTCATTTTTTGGATGCATCTTGTAATTCCTGCAAAGCAGGAAGAGGTGTGGATCTATATGCACTAGGTGTGTTTGTTTGTAGATGCTTAACAATGAAGTGGCATATGAATTCTATAGATAATATTTCTAAATTTTGATATTTCATTATTTCTCCAGTACTGGCACAAGGCTGGCATTTGTAATGTCTTGAGTGATGAGACGGGATGTAAAAATTTTCCTACAGCTGTTTCTGGTGGAGCTACGCCAGCAGACTGCCACCCCTGCCCAGCTGGGCATTACTGTGGGCAGAGTGGACTGGCATTCCCAAGCGGCCCATGTGCCCCTGGGTACTACTGTCCAGGTGGGCAAGTCACTGCCAGGCCGGTGACGCACACCTGCACACCTGGTCACTTCTGCCCGGAGGTCAGTGGGGTCCGGATCTCCCGATGCACGCTCCGAATTCAGGAAGGGGTGTTTTTAAAGGTTTCTCACTGTCCTGTCTTCGTGTTTTTCTCCTTGACGGGCCGGGGGGCTGGACGCGTCCTTCTCAGGGCAGCCCCGGGGAGAGGAGCTGTGCTCCAGGCACCTACGAGCCCAGCCAGGCTCAGCAGGAGTGTAAAGTCTGCCCCGCTGGCTTCTACTGCCCGAGCGAGGGTGGGTATCTCTGCGCCAGACATGTGGGTAGGAGATCCTTTCCCTCTGCCTTTTTTCTAAAACTGCCATCTATTTTGCATTTCTGCGGTTCCTTGCCCTGCATTTAGATCGGCATGGATGATGCGTATACCAGCCTCCGCTTATAGGGGATTTTTCTCTTCGTGAGTGTGACTCAGTCTTTCACAACATTTCACCTCTCGGCTATTTCCTCCTGGCTTTGAAACCTGGTCCAGCGGCGTCCTGGATGAACTCAGCCTCGGCAGAGTCTTCCTGCCTGCCTTTGATTACAGACGTTGTAGTCAGTTGACCGGTATTTTTTGTTTGTTTACAAAGCAGATGCCTACATCTTCTTCTTCTTTCAGGAGTGATCCAGCCAACACCTTGCCCAGTGGGCTTCTATTGTCTCGCTGGAGCGACGGCAGCCAATCAGCATCCCTGCTCTCCGGGTAGCTATGGAAACCGCTCTGGATTGGCCGAGGCTGGGCAGTGCAGGCCCTGTGAGGCGGGGATGTACTGTAAAGGGACAGGTAGAGGAACTGCTGATCAGTAACTACACCACTCTGACGCCCCTCAGAGCTGCAAAGACAGCAGTACAATCCTTGTCAGATATACTGAGGCACTTTCATTGTTGGTGCACCTACAGTAAATCAGTTCGGTTTATTTGTCATATGCACAAGTGTAATGAAATGCGTATTGGCAAGTATGCTCCAATACAAAGGCATTAAGGAAACACCAAAAACAGAAACACAGAACAGTAGCAGCAACACCAAGTTAAATAACATACATCTTAAAAAAAAAAAAAGCCATCAGTGTCAGCAAGTGGTAGGGGTAGAGTTCAGTAATCTGACAGCTTGTGGGAAGAAACTGTCTCTGAACCTGGACGTATGTGCCTTTATGCTCTATAACGCTTACCAGAGGGAAGGGGGGAGAAAAATTAGAAACCAGGATGACTGGTATCCTTAGCGATACTTCACAGTAAATGGTAGAAGCATTCTTCCTTGGAAGGGCTCCTTCATTATTTACAAAGTTGAAAAACAATGACACTTTCTGCAAAACGAAGATGCCTGTGTTTTTTTATCAGGCAATAAGAAAGCCTGCATCTCTCGCCGCTGTGTGTTTGTATCCAAGGGAACAGCGGGCCCACAGGCCTGTGCAGCGCTGGCTTCTACTGCCCCGGGGGGTCCTCCCTGCCTACCCCTTCTGACGGAGTGACCGGGGGCCGGTGTCCACCAGGCTCCTACTGTCCTGCAGGCACGGGCATGCCACAGCCCTGTCCCAGGGGCACGTTCAGGTACTGAAGCTGCCTGGAAAAAAAAAAACAGCTCCGTGAATTTGCCCCCCCTTCCAAACAGCACAAACGATGAATCCCACCTCATTCTTTCATGCTATGTTTGTGCCGTTGAAAGTAGCGCTTGTACTGTTGCCGTTCCAGAGATATAGCACCTTGATTTCCAGCTGATCACGTGACCATGCACGGCGACTTTGACCTGCAGTGACCCCGTCTGCCGAGTTCAAGCGCTCTGTTACTGGTGCGAGAGTAACAGTTCTGCAATTGTGTTCCTCTGTTTGCCTGGGTGGGGGAGCGGCAGTTGATTTTGCATTTAATACCACTATCTTCTGTGCATTTGTGTGAACAGGAAAATTGAATATGTCACCAATGCCATACCCTAATCAGAAGAGTTGCGGATATAGCCTTAAAAAGATCACGTTAGCAAGCAACTGCATGCTCTTACAAAGAGGCTTTAACTAGCACCTCTCAATGCTTAGCTGTAGCTGTGTCCTTTTTTTAAAATCAGAAGAAGTAATCAGTTTCTCATTGTTTCATAGACCACACACTGGGACGTAACAATATGCAGTATGTTCGGTTATTTTATCTGAAAATAAAAATACTTTCCAATATTTCCGTGTCTGCATGTGTGAGATGGTACAGTTTCCAATGTTTTGCAGTTGGGTTATGAAAATGGACACAGCTACGAAGTATTGAGAGGTGCTGTTTAAAGCCTCTTTGTAAGAGCATGCACTTGCTTGCTAATGTTCGCTATTTAAGGCTACATCTGCAGCTCTTCAGATTAGGGTGTGACCTTGGTGACACATTTAATTTTCCTGTTCACACAAATGCACAGAAGATAGTGGTATTAAATGCAAAATCAACCACTGCGCCCCGCCCGGGCAAACAGAGAAACACAATTGCAGAACTGTTACTCTCGCACCAGTAACAGAGCGCTTGAACTCTGCGGACAGGGTCACTGCAGGTCAAAGTTGCTATGCATGATCACCTGGAAACCAAGCCGCTTTATCTTGGGGACCACAACAGCACAAGCGCTATTTATGAACTGCAAGAACGTACTGTAGCACTAACGAATGAGGTGGGTTTCATCGTTTGTGCTGTTTGTAGGGGGGTCGATTTCAGGGAGCTAAAAAAAACTCCAAAGCATCATTTCTGTCTACCAAACCACACGGTCAGAGCAGTGATGATTTCTGCATCTGTTAACTCTCTATTTGCCAGTACGTATCTGGACTGGCGTTTTCAACAGAACGTTGAGCAAAGCAGGAAACGTCCGTTTCAATCCGCACGTCAAAGAGTTTTGCTTTTGCTTGAGAGACGAGAGGTTCATTCCTCAGCGTCTGTCTCCCGTCCTGTGCGCCAGGGAGCGGCGCTGTTTCCGCGCTCACTGCGGCTCTCCTTTGCTGCTGCAGCGAGAAGTCTGGGCTGACGGACCCGTCGCAGTGCCAGGTCTGCAAGCCGGGGTACTTCTGCTCCGAGCCGGGCCAGACAGCAGTGACGGGCCCCTGCCTGCCAGGTAACCATGGAGACTCCCTGCGCAGCCAAGCCTGGAGCGAAGCAGCTGGCTGGAACTGGATCTGGAAACAAGTGGCTGTTTGTTTTCCTTGTGTGCCTCTTTACTATAAATGACATTGCATGTCCGAGACATTGGGGAAAACTCATTTGTAAAACATTTTTTTTATGTTTTTCTTTTAATAGATCTAAAATATACGTCTAGAATTTATATTTTTTTATAGTGCTCTTGCTGTTGGAAGAGGTGTTTGTGGAGCCAGTAGGGGGCGCTCACCCTGCAGGCTGTGTGGGTCTTAATGTCCCAGTATAGTAACGGGGGCACTATACTGTAAAAAAGGCACCGTCCTTCAGATGAGATGTAAAAAAAGAGGTTCAGACTCTCGGTGGTCATTGAAAACCCCAGGGCGTTTCTCAAAAAGAGTGGGGATGGTACCCTGGTGTGCTGGCCAATTACCCGTTAAACTCTTTGAGAGAGGTTTCCAGAAAAGCACTATATAAGTGTTAATTCAATTTATTATTGTTGTGGTTGTTGTTAAAGATTGCACTGTTAAGTGGATATCACATCTCTCCCGAACAGTGTGCTTTCATTCTTCCTGAACACTTGTTCCAGGTTTCTACTGCCTCGAAGGGTCTCCAAGTTCTGCTCCTACCTCGGAAGCATTTGGGGGCATCTGCAGCCCTGGGCACTTCTGTGAGGGGGGCAGTGGCGTCCCCTCCCCCTGTCCAGAGGGCACACATCGCCGAGAGGGTGGGGGGAGAACCAGGGCTGACTGCACTCCCTGCCCTGCAGGTACTGAGAGAATGAGGAGTATTTCTTGCGTCCTTTTACAACAGCGCTTAGACTCGGTCACTCTTTCATCTCGCTGGAGGCTGTTAACGCTCTCCTGTGTTTGGATGCCAGGCTGGTACCAGGCTCTGAGCGGCCAGCCGGAATGTGAATCCTGTCCTCCCGGATTCTACTGCAGCCCTGCTGTCCTGGAGCCTCGGGGCGCGGTTGTCCCCCTGCCCTGCCCTTCTGGGCACTTTTGCCCCAGAGGGACGCCATTTGGCACCAGGAACCCCTGCCCAGAGGGCACATACAGCAGGATCCTGGGCCTGACCTCTTCAGGTAAGCCCTTACAACTGAATCCCTCGTGCCAGCTTGTCTCATCTTCCAGCTGCTGATGGCTCGCGCTGGCATGAGCTAACACAGGCGTGGAGTACAAGCAGCCAGGAAACAGAAGAGCGAGGCAGATGATTAGAGTTCATTTCCTGATGTGTCACGTTGTCGAGGTCTTTCAGTGAAGGGCTGGAAGAGCTTCTTGGATCAGCAAGCTCCAAATATATTGGCAGTTGAGAAAGAGGGACTCCCTTTGCTTGCTTTTCACACGTTGGGGTGGAGCGGTGGCTCTGTGGCTAGGGATCTGCGCCTGTGGCTGGAAGGTTGCTAGTTCGTATCCCACGGCCCGCAGAGGAATCCTACACCATTGGGCCCCTGAGCAAGGCCCTTAACCCCAACTGCTCCAGGGGCACAGTATAGATGGGTGACCCTGCGCTCTGACCACAAGCTTCTCTCCCTGTCTGTGTGTCTCATGGAGAGCAAGCTGGGGTATGCAAAAAGACAAATTCCTAATTCTAGAAATTGTATATGGCTAGTAAAGTGATCTTATCTTCTTTTAGAGGTTATTTCTAGTAAAAAAGCACTTCCAGGCCTCCAGAATGCTAGTACGTTTGGCAGAGCAGAGAGTAGCACTGTATCTGGGACTCTCTTGTGACTCATGTGCTGTTGGGGCTGCAGCTCAGTGCTCTCAGTGTCCGGAGGGGCGGTTCTGTGGATCGGAAGGCCTTGCAGAGCCCACCGGAACCTGCTCGCCCGGGTTTCTCTGCATTGCTGGGGCCCGGCTGCCCAACCCCAGAGACAACGTCACGGGCATGGCCTGTCCCCGAGGGCACTACTGCCAGCACGGGCTTGTGTCAGGTAGGACTGTGCCTCCGATTAAGTGCACGCTTCCCATCAGACCACAACCTAAAACAATCTGCAGCCACGGTGCCAAAAAAAACAGCAGGATTTTTGGAGTGTTCTTTTTATAACACAAGCCCTGTCTTCTTGAGCAGCATCACTGGTCGGTCACCCGCAGGGGAAGATCAGGACTGAAACGTGTCGGTGAAGAGCCGCTGTGTTTCCACAGGCAGCTGCTCGGCTGGGTTCCTCTGTGACTGGGGCTCCAGCAGCCCGGAACAGCGACCCTGTCCTGCTGGGTTTTACTGCCCCAGAAGGACACAGAACGCCATCCCCTGTGCTGCTGGGACTTTCAGCCCTGTGACTGGGAACAACCAGCGCTCAGACTGCACACTGTGCCCCACTGGGCAGTATTGCCAGGGTGAGACAATCAGTATTGCTGTTCCTTTAAAAATTAAGTTGGTACAGTATATAATGTGTATATATGGTATATACTGTATATATTACATGGGAAGATATAACAGCAGAGTAATAGAAATATATTTTCCACATTGTTTAGTTTTCCCTATTGAT